GTATGTAGATGATATTATCCTCACAGGAGATCATATTGAGGAAATTCGAAAACTTAAAGAGTTTCTAGCCAAAGAATTCAAAATTAAAGATCTTTGAATGCTCAAGTACTTCCTAGGCATAAAAATTGTCCAATTTAAGAAAGGAATTTCCGTATCACAACAGAAGTATGTCCTGGATCTCCTGAAAGAAACAGGTATGCTTGGTTGAAAACCTGCAGATACGCTTATAGATCCAACAATGAAACTAAGATCTACAGAATGTGAGAAGACTGCTGACAAAGAAAAATATCAGAAACTGGTCGGAAAACTAATATACCAGGCGCACATAAGACCAAACATCAGTTTTGCAGTCAATACAGTAAGTCAATTCATGAATCAACCGTCAGAAATACATATGAAGGCCGTGTACAGAATTTTGAGGTACCTAAAAAGGATATCGGGGTCAAGGACATCGGGTCAATAACTAATTTTTTAAAAAGAAAATAAACAGGAATATTGAAGTCTTTAATGATGCTGATTGGGCAAGATTGATAACCGACAGGAGATCCACTTCTGGCTACTGCACGTATGTGGGGAAATCTGGTCACATGGCGCAACAAGAAGCAGTCTTTCTGAATTTCGAGCACTTACGCATGGAATTTGTGAAAGGATATGGTTGAGAAGAATACTACTAGAGTTAGAAGCATTTATTGATACTTCTATGAAATATGGTGTGACAATCAATCAACAATCAGCATGGTCAAAGACCCAGTACACCATGACAGGACCAAGTATGTAGAGATAGATCGACATTCATCAAAGAAAAAATTGAAGATAGAACCATAACTCTTATACACATCCGTTCAAATCAATAAGTTGCTGACATCTAATAAAGGCACTACCAAAATAGATATTTGATAATATTGTATCCAATCTAAGTTTACTCAATATATATGTAAACTAAATTGAGGGGGAATGTAGAAAATACTGTAATTCTCTATTCTGTTATACAGAGTAGAATAATCCTAACAGGTGAGGTGTCATTCTTCTAGAAGGTGAGGTGGCATGGTAATAACAGAAATCTGTTATCACCCCTTCCTCACATTCCTGAAAAGATGTCTGGTTTTCTTTTATAAATGGCACCCTTTGGTCCCTAAAATTAATAAGAGAAAAAAGGGAGAATTTCTTCACTAAATCTCCATTCACAAAACTCTTCAAAATCGTCATCTACCAATTCCATTAACTATGTTGGATAAATTATTTCAAAAAAAAAAATTAACTACGTTGGATAAAAGAATTGATTGAAACAATTTAAGAATCTCATAAATTTTTTGTTTTCAGTTTGAAAATTGGAAGGTGACATAACATCCAGATTTTAGGTGTGATTTTTGCAATGGTTGACGTCTAAATGTTCGTTGATAGAAATCTCACCATCCTCATGCATGTCGGAAGTCCAAAGAGTGAGATTGTCTCTTAAAAGCTGCATAATCAATGTGCTGTCTTTGTAGGACTCCTCACTTAGTGCATCCAACTCAGATATAGCTTCATCAAAAGCTTGTTTTGCAAGATGGCAAGCCCTAGTCCAGGAACGAAGTAAAACATTCATAAAAGAATAAAAGAAAGTGATTTGAAACTCAAAAAAAAGATAATCGCATGCATACCTCTCAGGCGAATTCATAATCTCATAATAAAACACGGAGAAGTTCAAAGCCAAACCTAATCGGATGGGGGGGGTGTTTGGGGGGGCAACTTCAGCCTCCTGCAGCAGTAGATGCTGTCTGCAAAATAAATAACATAATTTGAAGATTTGACAACTAAGCATCCCACAACATTGTAATCTGACAGTTTTTTAGAATTAATATAATTTTTACAGA